ATTGACATTCTTGCTTTGTACGTGTCATCAGAGGGGGAAAAGCCCCACCCATTAGTGACCAGCTTAGACTCATTAGCATAGGAAGTTAGTCTTGTTTTTGAATCTGCCACTATGCTGACACACAGCATTTGTAGCTCCACCTTTTTTGAAAAGAGCACTCAAATTTGAATTTAAAGCGACATACACCAAAACTGCACAATTAGGATCAAAGGCCAAATGTAGCAGTTTTAAAGAGTTATAAAACATTATTTTATCACTGCTGCATCAAACATATCCTTAATAAGTTGGCCGTTCATTCCGGTGTGGCGACCCCAGAACAATAAAGGGACTTAGCAGAAGAGAAAATGAATGAAAATGTTTTTTCTCCTTTTTAAATATTTCCCAAATTGTGTTCAACAGAGCAAGGAAATTTTCACAGTGTGTCTGATAATATTTTTCTTTTGGAAAAAGTCTTATTTGTTTTATTTCGGCTATAATAAAAGCAGATTTTAATTTCTTAAACATCCTTTTAAGGTCACAATTTTAGCCCCTTTAAGCTATATTTGTTTTTAATAGTCTACAGAACAAACCATCGTTACACAATAACTTGACTAATTACCCTAACCTGCCTAGTTAACCTAATTAACCTAATTAAGCCTTTAAATGTCACTTTAAGCTGTATCGAAGTGTCTTGAAAAATATCTAGTCAAATATTATTTACTGTCATCATGGCAAAGATAAAATAAATCAGCTATTAGAGATGAATTATTAAAACTATTGTTTAGAAATGTGTTGAAAAATTCTCTCCGTTAAACAGAAATTGGGGAATAAATAACATTACAATCAAAATCAGAAAAGTTATTAGTTACTATAACTTTAGTTGCTAATTACTTTAACTAATGAACTAGTAACTAATAGCTTTTAAAAGTTTAAGTCATTGTATAAGCATAGTTAACCTGCAGTATATAGGTGATGTCATTGTGTACATGTTCAATGTAGTGTATTTGTGCATTAAGTGTATGTGTTGTGCTCAAAGTCTTTGGTTGGCATCACCTCTTCACAGGTCTTGAATCTCTATCAACATATTCTGCATGATCTTATTATCCATGGCTAAACCTAATACCCAAACCCAACTACTACCTTAATGGTTATCAATAAGCAGCAAATTGAAAGTTTACCCAGTAGGCACAGGACGTCAATGTGATGTCAGATTGACGTTGTACACCTACGTCATGGGGAAGTTGCAGTTTGTTTGGAAATTTTGGTTGGGTTGACGTCAGAACCCAACGTCAGACCAATGTCAATATCTAACGTCCAACCTAAAATCAACGTCTAATGATGTTACAGCTTGACGTTGTGTTGACATTGCCACTATGACGTCTATCAGACATTGGATTTTGGTTGCTAAACCTGAGGAATAAATGTCAGTATTTGACGTCAATATGACGTTGGTTTAAGGCGTTGGATTTTGGTCGCTTTCCAACACAACCTAAAATCAACCAAATATCAACGTCATTTGACATCATTATTGGACACCAAAATAACGTTGTCCTTAGACCCTGGCTAGACAATTAATTTTGGTCACCTGATATCACGACCTAAACCTAACCTAACATTAATGTCTTATGATGTTGTGTGCTTACTGGGTACTGAGGCAAATGGTTTATTCATAGTGAGAATTGTACCTTTAGATAAATTTTGACCAAATACATTTTTAAATTTCTCAAATCTCCTCTAGATAAAATAAAGCATGTAATTAAAAGGTAGTGTGAGTTAAGCAAATTCAGCACCTCTGTTAGTGACGTTAATGCAGCATTTTCACATGTTCTCTTTTTCGCTCCTGTCCGAGACATTCACCTCTGGGTCTTTGGAGGGTGGATGGAGGGGTGAGTTGATTTTGGAGAGGGGGAGGAAGCAGACTTAGGTCAACATTGTGCTACTTTCCCAAAGATGCATATCTGTCCTGAACAAACATGCGGTGTATTTATAGGAATTCGGCATCCAGCTCAAGCAGCATGGGGCCAATTGGCTTTTTAGGGTTTGCCATGCTGCAAAGCTCAGTGGGGTTTTTTTAATTAAATGATTTACACTTAGACTTAATAGGAGATGTGCCTGTGGCTAAAAATAACAGCAGCTTGCAGCTAAAGCATATGGTAAACACTTTATGCTAACTTCACTCAAATTAACAGATTAGTATTTCTCTCTGGGGAAAAGAGGATGACTGGTGAACAGTGAAAACTCCAACGCTATCTCACGGCAATTCGTAACTTGGCGAATTCGTATTAGTTTGCATGATCTCATTCATAAAAATTTGTATGATTTGCTCATCCCCCAATGACAATCGGGTTTAGGAGTGGGGTTTGGTACAATGCCCCCTTTTAAAAATCATACAATTCCACACAACAGAACTCGAATTTGTACATATTAGCTACTAAATTGACAAAACATAAAATAGTTATGTTTTTACATTGAAATACAATAGAAAGTAGCACATTTGAAAAAAAAAATGCATTCTGTGTGAACGGCCCCTATAGCTTTGTGTCCAAACGTTGGTGCCACAAACCAAGCACTGATAGAACACAAGCATGTTGTGTGTGTGCTTGCAAACGTATCATTCTGTAGCTCATTTAGTTATTGTTTAAGGTTTTTTTGGTGATTTCAGTCAACAGAGTCAGTCATCATTCATCTTCTCATCAGTAACATCAGTCTAAACAGTTTCTCTGTCATTGAGTGTAATCAGTTTGCATCTTTGTGGACACTTCCATTGCTTCACACTAAATGTTTGCTGCATTTATAAAGCATTCATGTCTTAAAGTCAGTCTGATGTGTTTTTTAACAATGCTATTTTGTGTGGACAGGATTTACAGGACTGATTATTATGGGCTGATTTATACTTCTGCATTGAGGGATCGGCGTGACCCACGGCGACCGCCTCGCTTATAGTCATTTATACTTGCATTTATACTTCTGCGTTCTATTTGTTTTGCTCTGAAATAACACTTTCGAAAAACTAGCAGGCAATAGGTTTTTATCCTCTGTGTCGAGTTTCTTCGTAGGTGTTTTATATTTTCAGAACGCTACCTTAACGTTCAAGCAGCTTAAACTCGCTCATTCAGAGACCAGAACCGGCAGAAATGCAACAATATTAATCATAAGATGAATGCAAAACAATAGTTTCCATCAAGAGCTACTCATGGGACTCGACACTTGTGAACACTCGCTTCAAAAGTTTGCTTGGCTCTCTGTCCAGCCCACACTGATCACAGCTACTAAGCTGACCAATCACAGAGTTTGCGCTATGCATCGTTGAGACGCGTAGTTATTTATTTTTTTTAATGATTATTTATTTATTGCAGAACAAAGCCAGCGTACATAGCTAGCACTCACTATATACAAGTCAAGGTTTGCATTAATTGAAAATACATAAAGAAATGAAAAATAATAGTAAAATAAAGACAATAAAATAATAAATGAATAACAATACACAGAAAAAGAAAAGCTTTGGGGTGAGAATTAGTGTAGTTACATTTATTGAGAGGTGCACGTCACGGTGCGGTGAGGGCTATGCGACCGCGCGAAGACCGCACCGGAGCATTCATGTGCACTTGACGCAGAAGTATATATGAGCCTTTATACTCCGTAATCACCGTAGACAAAAAATAAATAAACTTATGCAGTGACTGCAGGTTGAAGGAAAATAACTCGGTATAAGTATCAATATAGCACTAAAATAAACTTAAGTAAAAGTATATATTTTCTAAACTACTCATTAAACTACAATTCCTGAGAAAAACTACTGTTAAGGGGGTCACACACCACAAGCGCCGCGTAGCGCCAAGCAGCGTCATGCATTTCAGAGTTCTAAACATAGGTTTCTATCAGGGTTCACACAGCGGTGCTGCAAGTCGGTGGCGCCCAGCCATGACTCAGGACACAGTTGACAGTTCTGCCACGCCACAGAGCACCATCTGATTAGTTTCATTTTAAATACCATGCGAATGTGCGCGTCTGGTGTGTGATACTTTCAACTGTCATGTGTGCGCCATGTCACGAGGCTGAGCGGCGCATCCGGTGTTTGACGCCCTTTACCATGATTAACATTTGTAATTCCATAATTTACAGCACAGCAAGTAATAAGTGCAAAAACATAACTTGACATTTGTTTTGATAATGCATATTTGCATTTTGTACAAATGTGAAATAGTTAAAAAGTTAATAAATTTCTACTTAAAACCTATGGTGGCATTTCAATATTTGATATAAACCAATAGTGCAGTGGCACGGTGGCTCAGTGGTTAGCACTGTTGCCTCACAGCAAGAAGGTCACTGGTTCAAGACCCAGCTGGGTCAGTTGTCATTTCTGTGTGGAGTTTGCATGTTCCCCCCGTGTTAGTGTGGGTTTCCTCTGGGTGCTCTGTTTTCCCCCACAGTCCAAAGAGATGCGTTATATGTGAATTGAATAAACTAAATTGGCCGTAATGTATGTGTTTGTGTGTGTGTGTGAATGAGTGCCTTGCACGTAGTTGTGCATTTATACTTCTGCATGCTGTTTGTTGTACTCTGCAATAACACTTCCGAAACGCTAGCTAGCAGCAGGCTGTCGAGTCCCTTATGAATGCTACCTTAATGTACAAGTAGCTCAAACTCGCTCATTCAGATGTGGGAACTGGTGGACATGCAACAACTTTAATCATAAGGTAAACACAAATCAAAAGTTTCCATCTGGAGCTCCTTCACAGGATCGACACTTGAACAATCCCTCCATCAGGCTTACTCGTCAATGTTACCAAGCCGGCCAATCACAAAGCTTGCGCTATGCGTCTTTGCGATGTGTAGTTAAATTTTTCAAGAGGGGCGCATCAGCGTCAGCCACGACGAGGGCTATGTGACTGCGCTAAGGTTGCGCCTGACCATACATGTGACATTGAAGCAGAAGTTTAAATCAGGCTGTAGCCGAATGAATGAATATTGCATAGTGCAAAATACAACTTAATACAAAATACAACTTTTCAAATCACAAGTGTCACCATTAACATCATATTTATTGTTATTTAGTTACTCAATAAAACATATACATATATATACAATATGCAGGAAAACAGACAACTGCACTTTACATATTACTTTAAAAAATGAAAAGAAAGAAAGAAACAAAAAAAAAGGATCTCCACATTGTCATTATTATAACCTTCCATCTAACCCTTTTCAGGTCAATTGAAGCATGTTTCTAAAGAGTATAAGATTGCCTAAAAATTACATGTGCAATACCAATGTTCTGGTTTCTACTTGTTATCCATTTAACATCAAAAGAACATTTCCTCTTAACCATGTGGCATACCAGTACTGAAGCATTGATTTCCATTGTGTTATAAAAGGGATTGTTTATGTTTTTCTATAGTTCCCTGCAGGCACACAACATCATAAGACATTAATATTAGATGAGATTTAGGTCATGACGTCAGGAGACCAAAATTCAATGTCTAGCCAGCGTCTAACGACAACAACATTTTGACGTGCAGTATCGATGTCAAATGACGTTGATATTTGGTTAATTTTAGGTTGTGTAGGAAAGTGACCAAAATCCAATATTTGATAGATGTCATAGTGCTAACGTCCCCACAACATCAAGGTGTAACATGATTAGATGTGGATATTTGGTTGATTTTAGGTCGATTTTAGGTTGGACGTTTGACATTGAGTTCTGATGTCAACCCAATTTTAATTTCCAAACAAAATCCATCATCCCCACGATGTTGGGGTAGGTTGGGATACAACGTCAATATGGCGCCTTGTTGACATCATGTGCCTGCAGGGTTCATTAAAAAATGTTAAAATTGATACTGCGTCATTAATTACAACCCAGACTCATTCTGAAAACGTATCTCTATATACATTTCTGGAGAGCACCAAATACGACCAAGGACCTATGTTTTTTTTTGCAGTTTTTGTTTTCGCGAATCCACCAGAGGGCACTGTGTACACTTTTTGAGTGCCATTCGTGCCTGCTGTTCTCGAGTAAATCCACCATAGGCCGTTGTCGTCTGACTGTCCACCCTCCTCCTTCCCTATACCCAACCAATAGTATTTTCCAAAGCAACGATTGACACGTCCACCCACTTCCCTAAACCCAACCAACAATTTTCAAAAGCAAACCAGAAAAAAAAAAACCCTCGCCTGATTTTTACCATGTTTTCAGATTTTACCACATTCTCGCCATTTTATTTACTTGCTTTATTTTATTTTTTGGCTTCTGTTTTTGTCTTTCCTGCTTTCTGGAACCGTTTTTCCCCAACGTCGTGGTCAACTCTTCATGGCATCTCAAGTCCGTCAACATACATGGTGAGCTAACAGGACAAACTGGTAACATTGGGAATGCCTTCCAAAATGAGGAAATTGGTCACCTTTTCATTTACAAAATAATATACCACCATACCTAATGATTTACATAATTAACGATCTCTAGAAACATATATAGGGCAATGTTTTCAGAATGAGCCTATGTTGATTAATTAGTATGTTTTACAGCTACGTTTTGTAGTTTAAATATTAGCAAAGTAATTAGATAATTACACATGGCAAGTTTGATGTAATATGGTTTGGAATATTCGACTTCAGCTCGCAACCCTCAATCAAAAAAAAGTTAGATTTTTGGCCCTTTATAAGAAAGAGTTTGGGCACCCTTGTTTTAGAGTAACCAAAAATGTTGTGGTAAAGCTGATGGTGGATCATTGAATTTCCATTAAACGTCTTTTAAAAGGATTTCCTTGACACTTTTACTCATTTCCCAAAAAGCCAGCAGGCTGTACAGCTCACGATGACCAAATTTCAAAGCACTCTTCTGTCTCTCCATAACAAAAGAATGACTTGCCCTGAGGGTGAGAGGTCAGAAAAAGATCCTAGATCTGAGACAAAATCTGGGTTATTTGATAAGAAGGAACAATAAACGGGGGAAAAAGAAAGAAATTGAAAGAATGCGCAAAAAACTTGATGGATAGAATAGCCATCAGAACATACAGAGGTCTGGAAATACAGCATCAGTACTGGTATACTGTTATCTGGTCTTATGCCTCCCAAAATACCACCCTACAGAAAGACTCGCTGTGATCATTTTTGTTTTCTACAAAAAAAAGGGGGGCACAGATTTTCCTGACAAAGAAACATTGATTAATCCTGACTCCGTGTAAAAAGGGAAGTCTTGTTTCTGTGTCCTCATCGTGGAAGTTCTTTTTCTGCTATTTATCTTCAAGTCAACGCAGCTACGAATGTCCCAAACCGATTCGAGATGTCCGAGTGCAGGGAACGCCATGAAGGAACAGGCCCTCCGCGTCCCTTTGACTCCCCGAGTTCATCTGTGCAATGGACTGACAGGCACTGGAGATGAGAACCCATACCTCCAGCGGTCCCAGAGGAACCTGCTCCTCCTCCGCTCTTATTTTGAGTGAGGTCTGCCTCTGAAATAGGGAAAAGGAAAAGAACGAAGACATCAGTTGTGATTGACAGTTGACGTTACATTGTTTTGCCAGTAGATGGCAACCGAGATTGTCATATATGCAGGGCCAGACAGAATCTGCAAACATTTTCTGCTTTTTCTGTGCAGAATTTGGTAAAAAGCTGTGGAGTGATATTAGGAATATAGTATCTAAAAACAAAGAATGATAGAAGAAAGGATACCTTTTATTTAAGCTTTACAACATACGTACAATTAGACAAATTAACTACTTAAGTAAAAATTAAATTAACTTAAGTAAATTTTTGTAATTTAATATCCGTTATTTTACAGTAAATTTCTGTAATTTAATGGCCGTTATTTTACATTTTTTCGGCACTGCAGCTGTAAAAAAAAAATATTTTTCTTACAGTGTACAAATCATTCTACGGACTACAGATCCAGTCATGCACCACTCACACGCACCTGTTCCAGATTCCGCTGATTGCACACACACACAGCCAGAGGATTGTTACAGACTGAATACAAGGACTATTTATACAGCACACACACACACACACACACATCAGTGCTGAGTCTTATTTATTTCCCTTATTTAAACTGGGGTCGCCACACCACCAATTTTAGCATATCAAATTCACCTGTACCACATGTCTTTGGACTTGTGGGGGAAATCGGATCATCCGGCGGAAATCCATGCGAACATGGAGAGAACATTCAAACTCCACACAGAAATGCCAAGTGACCTAGCTGAGGCTCGAGCCAGTGACCTTCTTGTTTGAGGAGAACATGCTACCCACTGCGCCACCCCCTTGTTTTACTGTTACTGTGAACATTATGATGCTTTTCCCTTGCCTTGCTTTGACGTCTTTTGACCCTCGCCTTGTTTGTTTGTTTACATTGTATGTCGCGGGGATGGACCACTCGTCTGTTATTTAACCATGACTCTTGATTCCCTGTATACATCTGTTTGCCCCTGTTTTGATCGTTGCTTGCCTGACGATATCTGTGTAATAAACCTGCATTTGGATCCACACTTCCTTGTCAGCATTCTGTCACATAACAATTACTTAACAATCTGTATTGTAAATACCTCATAGACACATTGCATATTAGGCAATAAAGTGACTGAAAATAATATAAAAACTGAATAAATATATATGTACCCAAATTTCATAAATTTTCATAAAATTTCATAAAGTTCATACACTGGGCTATGGAAATCTGTGGATTTCTCTAAGCATATATTTTGTATGAACCTACTTACGAGCCAGTTGTAAAGACTTTTATTTTGAAAACCACCAAAACCAGCACTGTCACCATCATTAGTCCTGAATAAATGCATCAGTTAGCAAGATTATTAGCAAAAAACAAATATTACAGAACGTAACGCAATAAAGTCAATATTCCTTTGTTGTAAGATTTAAAATTTACCATTAGAAAATGGACTGTTAACTGGAGATGTGAATCCATGAAGTGTTACTTCATACAAAATTAATTTTAGACGATAAAATTACTAAACTATCATTTATTAAAAAAAATAATAAAAACAAGTAACAAAAAAAAGGCTGTTTTAGGACCTTTGACCTTGTTTGACCTAATTTATGTGCATAATGACTCTAGGAAAGAATTGACCCACATGTCGATGCCCTGCCCCCCTTCTTATTTGAGCCACAAAACCAAATCCATACCCAGGTTTATAAGAGGCTGTATTCAAAATGTCACAGCGAAAGGTGAAAGGTGAGACAGGGAATTGCATTAATTTTATACACAATCCACATCGTTAATAGTTTTTAACATACAAACAGATGTTCAAAAAAATAATAAAACTTGTTAAAAAAATCTTTGGAAATGCTTGTTTTAGGTTTGTAGATTATCTTAAATCATCGTTTACATTAAAAGTGCCATATTAAGCTACAGAATACAGTTGAAGTCAGGATTATTAGCCCTCCTGAACATTTTTGTTTAACGCAAAGAAGACACATTTCGAAACATAATACTTTTAATAACTCATTTCTAATAACTCATTTCTTTTAATACATAACTTTTGACTAGATATTTTGCAAGATAGTAGTATTCAACTTAAATATACATTTAACCTTAACTAGGTTAATTAGGCAAGTCATTGTATAACAGTGGTTTGTTCTGTAGACAATTGGAAAAAATTATAGCTTAATGGGGCTAATAATATTAAACGTGAAATGGTTTTAAAAAAATTTAAAACTGCTTTTATTCTTGCCGAAATAAAACAAATCAGACTTTCTCCAGAAGAAAAAATATTATAGGAAATACTGTAAAAAATTCCTGAATCTGTTAAAGATCATTTGGGAAATATTTACAAAAAAAAAAAATAAAAAACCACAGGAGGGGGAATAATTCTGACTTCAACTGTGAGTGTGTAAAACATAATTCTAGCCAATTTTTCTTTCCATACTTTCAGTTTAATGGCATCTTAATGGCATTCATGTTGTAAATTAAGTTGTCATAAATAATAATGACATCGGACATGTCGAATATATTAAAGGTAAAACTGTAAATCTTAGCTAAATGTTTTTTAAATGAATATTCAGCAAATTAAAAATGTGTGACAGTCATCTCTGCTCTCTCCTACAGACAAACACCTTTACACACACACACACACACACACACACATGCGCTAACACTAACACACAGCCATTTTGAGAGACGGGCGCCTGGTCTCGCCCTCGAGCCTGTCTGGACCAGTACTGCAGAAAGAAACGGTAAGGTGTAGAGAAAGGTCAGTAACCCGAACCCATCCCCCAAACCCTGAGGAGAGAGGACACAAATAAAGGGGAAAGGAATCTAGAGAGGAGACATTTGTGGTAAAAAAAAAAAAAAGGTGGGATTGTATTTCCTAACACCATTAATACAAACAAAAGCACCCTGATCTTACGAGGAATTATAAATATTTTACATTTTGTCAGTTTAGTGGCTAATTCGTACAAGCTTAGTTGTACGAAAGTGTATGATTTTAAAAGGAAACCCAACACCTAAACCCGATTAATTCATGTAGTTGAGCAAATCGTACTAAATCAAATGAATAAGATCGTACAAATTTATACCAATTAAATAAAAAGTTTCGAATGAGATAGTGTTGAAAAACAACAACTCATTTCATTTGATTTACCGTTAATCGAATACGTTTGAGTAAAACATGACTTTTTGTTTTATTTACTGGTGACAGTGATTATTTTAACTACTTCTATAAATATAAAAAATGCACAATACCAATGTTTAACTTCAGAAGAGCTCTAAAGAATCAGTATTCTTATGCTGTGTTCACACCAGATGTATCATGCGTAAAAAAATCTCGCTATTTGCGCATCAAAGTTTTCGCCATTTGCGCATCAAAGTCACTTCATTTGCGTGAAATTCACTTCACAGCAGACAAGGATTCTGTGATGGACAGGGCTTCTGTCTGCCTGGTGACTCTAGTTTCATTGCTAAATGGCTAGCATGGTTTTTATTGAGAGAATAGCTGTGTTTATGTGCTTTAGGAAGGCTGAAAAACAGGGTAGATTCGTTCGGTGCCATGTCTGAGTCCACTGAATCCTTTCTGAGGAGCACCCAGCTCTGTGAGTTCATCAACTCCTCCAGAAACTACACCTGAATGATGGAAACTTTCAGCGGTGCTTTCAACTGAGCCGAGTCCAATTTGAAGAGATGTTGTCTGCTGTCGGCACGAGGATTTCCCCTCGAAACACCTACAACAGGCGCTACGTCATAATCACGGGGCTACAAGAGAGAGCTCCTGATTGGGTAACGCTACTGATTGGTTAACGCCAACTCAAGCGATTCGTGCAAATTGCTCAATTCACACAAATCGCATGATTCGCATCGCCTCATTCGTGTCAAATATTAGCATTTTACTTTTTACACACCTGATAAACTCAGAGAATCAAAATTTTCAAAAGCCGAAATTAAAAGACCGGATTTATAGGTGTATGTTTGAGAGTTAAACTGAATTTAGTTTTATTTACTAATGACAGTGATTATTAAATCTAAATGGTAAATAAAATGTCACAACATCGATGTCAATTTTAAAAGGTTATATCGCATTTTATACAGCACAATACCAGTGTTTTAACCTCACAAGTTAAAATTTCAGTATTACGTGGAATAATAAATGAAAACAAATTCAAATTAAAATTTATTTTGATTTTCTATATGATCAAAACATTAAGGATTGTTATCAGACAAATTTTACTCTTAACACACACCTAACAAATCCTGAGAAACTGAGAATTTGCAAGTGGCCTCAAATATACATATACCACCCCCTCATCTTCACATGCCTTAGGCAATAACACACACACACACACACACACACACACAAGCACACGCACACAGTCCTTCTCTTGTCATACGTCCTGCAGAGTCTGCCAATAGTCCATGATAGCTGGGCACAGCAGGCTGCTCACAGCCTGGATAAGCAACCAAGCATCCCTCCCCACCCAGCACACACGCTTACACACACACACACACATACACTTAGAAACTGCTCCCCCAAACACAGACACACACACAATCATATATACATAGAGAGAGAGATAGAAAGAGCAATGTGACAACTGTGCAGCCCCAAAACACACACACACACAAACACACTGTAAAACACTACTAATGTATGCATTAAAGAGGCTCAGTGCCCATGCCAAAACACAGCAGCCAAGGATGATACACATAATATGATGTCCTTGATGTACTTTAATCTTTAAAGCCACACATAACATATCCTTTAAAAAAATGCAGTTTTAAATTTTAGTATTAAAATCAGCTTCCAGAAATGATCAGATGTGCACCAACATTAGGCATGTTCAAATCAAGACTGAAAACACATCTGTTTAGCTGTGCCTTTACTGTATGAGCACTGTGCTACGTCCGACAGATTGCACTATTATGTTTTTTCGTTTTCTTTTTCATTCTTTTATAACCTATTTTAACACATTTTAAATTGTTTTTATCTGTTTTTAATCATTTTTA